GACACGGAAGCAGATGAAGAAGAAGTTATCTTTACAGGAGATGACGTTGAAGATGTTACAGTGCATGGAACAGAGCATGAGTATACAGAGGTTGATTTTATAGGTGTTAACCCAATGGTGGGGGTGAATTTTGATGGCGATTTTGAAGTAGACTCACATGAACTAGAAGTGCATGTTCCTGAACCAGAGAAACCACATGATGTTAAACAATAGTTGAGGTTTGAACCAAAGGTGTATGCTGTTGAACCAGAGGTGCAGGCTGATGAACATGATGTGCATGCTTCTGGACCACAGCAGCAGGCTCAACATGAGGTGCATGCTGCCGAACAAGAGGCGCAGGCTGCTGAACATGAGTTGTATGATGCCGAACCAGGGGTGCAGGCTGCTGAAACTGATATACATGCTTTTGAACCACAACATCAGGCTCAGCATGAGGTGCATGCTGCTGAAGAAGAGGTGCATGCTGCTAAACATGAGTTGCATGATGCCAAACTAGAGGTGCAGGCTGCTGAAATTGATTTGGAATTTGATAAACCGCATGTTGACATAAGGCTGCTAAAATTGATGTGGAGCATGATGATCCTGTACAGAATGATGAATATGAGAAGGGTATTTTGGGAGAGGAATTCAATGACTCCGAGTATGAGCAGGAAGAAAATATTGTTGTGGATGATAATGATGAAAACACATATTTCAAGTTAAGCGAAGGTTTCGACATTGGTGTGAGAGGTGAGCAGGAAGGTGTAAGGGATGAACATGAAGGTGAGACAGATGCTAAGGAAAAAGCTGGAACAGACTACGAAGATTCCAATGAGTTCAGAAGCTTACACATTGATACTGAGGCTGAGGGATCATCTGCCAGAAGCAAGAATGTGTGCTGGTTTAACCCTGTAACTGATATGGATGATCCACAGTTCAAGCTATGTAATGTATTTATTTTGTTTAACACGTACAATATGCTATGTTCATTTCTACCAGGGATGAAATTCGACAACATCAATATTCTAAGGAATGCAGTAGTTCAATACTCAGTCAAATATTCCAGGCAACTGAGATACGTGAAAAATATGAGGACACAGTTGAGAGTTAGATGTCAAGATAATTGCCCTTGGGTTCTGTATGTGTACCAACAACCCGACAAGAGTCTTAGAATTAACACATTAATAGATGAGCACACATGTACCATGGTATGGCAAAATAAAAGAGTTAATTCAGGTCTGATCCCAAAATTCCAATGAGCAGTTTTAAGGAGACAGTAAAAGAGGATTGTATATATGAGATTTCAAAGCATCAGTTCTACAGGACAAGATCTAAATGTGCAGAGTTATTAATGGGATTGTAGTTGAGCAGTACAAAATTTTATGGGATTACGATGAGGAATTGAAGAGAGCGAACCCAGGCAGTACCGTGCAGATCGAAGGTTCAGATCACACTTTTAAGAGATTGTACATCTGCTTAGGGGTTTGTAAGGAAGGGTTTAAGGCTGGGTGCAGGCCAGTTGTTGGGTTGGTTGGTTGCTTCGTAAAATCTACAGAAAGTGGGCAGTTGCTGGCAGCTGTTGGCATTGATGGTGAGAACTGTATGTTTCTGTTAGCATGGGCAGTCGTGGACACGGAGAACAAAACAAATTGGCAATGGTTCATAGAATTGTTGGTTCATGACATAGGGATGTACAACCCTCGAGCTTGGACATTCATTTTAGATAAACAAAAGGGTTTGGTGGATTCCATAAGTCAATACTGTGAAGGAGCGGAGCATAGGTGTTGTGCTAGACATCGTTATAGCAATTTTACCTTAGCACACAAAGGTTTAACCCTTAAGAACTTATTTTGGACTGCAGCAAGGGCAACAACAGTGCCAAAGTGGAGGAGTGCAATAAATGAGTTAAAAGACATAAGTGAAGAAGCTTGCATCAGGTTCCTTGAAAAACCTCATTCCCAGTGGACTAGATCCCATTTCGAAGAGTATTCGAGATGTGATATTCTTCTTAATAATTTGTGTGAGGCATTCAATTCTTCCATGGTTGTTGCCAGAGACAAGCACATCATCTCGATGCTAGAGAAAATTCAGCATCAGCAAATGATAAGGATTAATGCAAAAAGGAAAGCAGCACAGAGATGGGATCATGCATTCGAGCCAAGAATTGTGAAAATCAATGAGAAGACTAAGTCTGAGGTAAAGTACTTGAAGGCAGACTATGTAGGCAACCATAAACTTGAGATAAGCAGTAGAGATGGTTTGAGGTGAAGCGTTGACTTGACAAAACATATATGTGCATGTAGAAAATGGCAGCTCACTAGAATGCCATGTCCCCATGCAATATCAAGCATGCTTTCAAGGGATATTGGCATATATGAGCACATCGACCTATGGTATAGCAAGGAAACATACCTCAAGTGTTACTCCCTAGTGATCCACCCGATGTCAGGGCCTGAACTGTGGCCAAAATTGGGAAAGCATCCTCTCAATCAACCTCAGAAGAGAAAACAGGCTGGCAGACCCAAAAAAATGAGGAAGATGTCACAAGGCAGAGCCACTTACAAGAGTTAAGATGGGAAGGACTGACATGAAGATGACGCGCAAACGCTGTGGAGGGTCTGGACATAACAAAAGAAGTTGTAAGGGACCACTGCCTGGTGAAGATAGTTCACAACAACAATCTCAACCAACCACACAAACAGAGTCCCAAGAAGATGCACAGACCAGATCAACAAAAGGGAAGAGAAAAGCACATTCAACGGAAACCTCCAAGTCATAGACAAAGAAGTCCAACAACAAAGGATCTAAATATTGAACATCATTTGGTTTCTCTTATATAGTTACTTAGTTTTTGTTTTTGGGAAAATGCTGTGATTTTTTGTAAGCTGAACTGGAAATATGTGCTCTCACTGCTGTTATTTTGTAGATTTAACTGAAATTTCTGATGAAATTGTTGAATGTGATGATAATGTTGATGTTGACTTTCTTGCATTATGTTGGGTTGTCATTAGTTTCTGAAATTGTATTCGTAAGATCTGATGTGCAGGCGATTACGAAATACATGAAAATGTTTGATACTTCCTCTGTAAGTATTATCTAACGTTTGGTAACTTTAGTGAAATTTTTTAAAGGTTTGGTACTCTCTCTGAAACCATTAGAAAATGTTTGGTACTGATTATGCGAATCGTTATAAGGTTTGGTACCTATGCTGCACCTTATGCAGAAAAGTTTGGAGTATAATCAGCTATTTTAATTTCGCATTACGTAGAGGCCAGAAAGAGATCTTTATCACCTATTAAGGCATCATTAAGTATAGAAAAAAGGGGCACTTCATTTCAAGTAAAAAGGTACAACACATTTTTTCCCTTTTACATATGCATTTCACAACATCTAACACAGGGCTCCATGCCGAAACCCTAAACTCAAATTTCTGGAACTAAATACTGACATCCTACAATATGAACAAACCCATTTTGCAAACACTCCACACACAAATCCGAAGAGCCAGATCTTCCATACATTTGGTCTTGTTGCTTGAAGGGCGTTGATTTCAGCTTCCATTTTCCTCATAGCTCGTAATAGACCAGGAATCAGTTCCTTCGATCTCTCACACATTGGATGGTCACACCACATAAAGAATGTGCATCCACCCACATCTTAGCTTCGAGGACAAGTGAGAATCTTCTTATCGGGTTCAGGTTCATCCACGAGGTCTTCATCTGCACCAGGGAACCACAACTGTATACATTCAACTCCATGTGCGTACTAATTTTTTTGACTACCTGTGAGAGAGAAGGTGGGAGATAATATAGTGGTAAAGAAATGGAGGAAAATGTGTGTAATACCCAGATTGCCTTTCACTTATTTGGGGAAAATTCTTAAAAATATCATTAGAGGGGTCAATTGACGATTTTGACACGAAAATCGTCATTTTGGATTGGCCCTACGAATTTTTTAAATATTTGATATCTCCGGTGACACAAACTAAATGTTTGGACAAAATATGTTAATAAACGGAATGTTTAGTACCTCGACTGCAATTTTCCCTCAAAACAATATCAAATTGATCCATTTACTACATGTAGGGCTGTGAACGATTCTATATTAGTTTGACATCAACCACTGATCACGTTACACAAAGGTTGCAATTTGGGACACAAGGAAATTGAGGAAAACACAACTCTTAAATGGTACCTCAATTACAAAGACGCGAGACTCTCTAAACTTGCAATTACAAGTACTATTTCAAAGATAGACACTTAATGCTAAGTAGATTGTACTATATACATTCTCTGTTGATCTTTATTATATAGTCAATTTTTGGCTACAAAGAGGATAAATAATTCTATCTAATAAAAATATGACGTACAGTTCAAGAAATTATGAGTATGTATTTTCAATTTCAGAATCAGTTTTTCAGAAAATTTTAAACAAGAATGGGAATGATTAACATAAACACAAAAATATTAAAGATTTCAATCGAAATAAGACGGGAAATTAGTGGACTTTTATTTAGTAAGGAATTTCATGCAATACCTATGAGATTTGGATGACAATAGTAGGATTGTCATGTTTTGGGATGATTTTTTGTTTTCTGGTTTGATTCTACTTATTCAAAATGGTATTTTTGAAAAAAAAAAATGAGAATAGTAAAATTGAGACTTGGAAGAAAATTGAAGGGACAGTTTTTATTTACACTTGTTTGTCATCAACGCAATTTTCTGACAATTCGAGTAAGTTAAACAAAGATAATTAAGAACTTATTTGAGAATTATTTTTTGAAAATTATTTTTTTAACTACATAATTTATAGGATTAATAACTTTTTTCTACTTTTAATCACATATTCTTCAAAAAAAGTATTATTCTTTTTTCAACAAATCCCTTCCAAACAAGTTCTAAAATTATGATTGTAGAAAATAAAATTAATGTTAATTTATTACAAAAAATAAGCTAAACCAAAAACATTTTCTTACACAGAACCCAGTAAGAAACCCAAAGACATCTTCATAGGCCCATGTAAAGAAAAAGCCCAGTGCTAATACTAGTACTTAGGGCAAACTTCAATTCAAGAAACTTTCGTCTCCTTCTCCGGTATTGGTTTCTGCACTGCCGCCGCATCGCCTTTGCTTTTCGCCATGGTATTGTAAAGAATTCACTGTTGTGATTTATATGATGATTGTATATATGGATGTATATATCTGTGCATACCTGTGTGTATTCATGGACTCGTAAAGCAGTACCTTAACGTTTCATTTGCTGTCTGTCGAATGATTTGACATTTTAGGTGAAGTATTCCAGGGAACCCGACAACCAGACCAAGTGTAAGTTATGATATACCAATCGGATTTACACGATTACAATGCACCAAATCTGTTTTGGTTCTGCTAGAATAAGGTACAAGCAGTGGAGGTGATTGTACTAAATCTAGCGAGTACTACGCTACGCTACAATTGCTGTACCCTACCCTAGCAGGCCGAAAATTCATGGGCATTTTTTATCTTTTCTTTGTGGGGCTTACTTTTTTGTATATCGAAATGATTGGTTTAAAAATTTGAACTGAGCATGTTGTATGTGTTTCAGCATGCAAAGCCAGGGGATCTGATCTCAGAGTTCACTTCAAGGTTGGTGTTTTTCGAATTGATTGTTGGATTCTTCGTTCTTTGTTATTAATTACGATGAATTCATACAATTCCTTGTCTATTTTTTTTAATCCAAATGTTAATCATATTATCTTCAATTTAACATGATGTCTCTATAAATTCGCTTTACATGTCATTCTCAATATGAGAACCCGATTGAAAGGTCAAACAAGGGAAACTAGAACTGAAGAAAAAGAAACAATAATCTTCAATTTGTTCAAGTTGAGCTTTCTCTGTATTATATTTGAATGTCAGTTCCTTAGTTGAATGATCAAAATTATGTTCATGTGATGCTTCCTACTATGTGATAAATAAATTTTGTATTTACTTAGTTTTTTGATCGGTAATTTTGTATTTACTTATTCATTCTAGTTTTGGTTGATTGATGATAAGTAGTGATATCATTATTTTTGGTTTAAGGGAAAATTGCAGCGGAGGTCCCAAAACTTTCATTTTGTTTTAGAATATGCCTTAACCTTTTATTTTTACAGTCACAGTCCCAAACTGTTAACTTGCATTGCAGTTATAGTCTATTTGACAGATTCCATCCATAGCCGTTGGTCAACCCTTAAATTAAATGTTTGACTTAAATTGACTAATCAAATGAGGGTAAAATAGTAAATTATATTATCTATAATAAAACAATTATGATAATTAAGCAAAATTCAAGATGAAATGTTCATCTTCCATCCTCCAACACAAAACCTAAAAACCAGCCACCGCCACCGCCACCTCCACACATTCATTGTACCTGACATTCATATCTACCAAATCCTTAATTTTCTCAAACCCTTCCTCATCAACTCTATGAAACAAAGATTGAGATCCATCGAATCCAAAGAAATCGTTTAAATTGAGGTCCCAGTTGTAATCTCCTTCAACTCAAATAAATCATATCTCCATCCCCACCCGGTCTGCGTCAATTCGCCTTCCCCTAATCCAACTAACAAGCTATAACCCACGTCCCTTGATGGCGAAGCTTCACTCCAATCCCTCAATGTCACCTAGGGACCTTATTTTCTTCATCGTTGAAGCCAATTTTGTCCAAAAACACTGAAATTTCGAATTTCCACCAGCAAGTCACAATCGCCACAACATATTCACAATCCTTAGCCTGAGCCCATCGGGAGTTCAAATTCCCAGAATGCCTAGCCGTCTGACTCGAATTTTGTGATTGAGAGTACTGAAAGTTCTCAAAATGCTCTAGCTGAAGCCGAGAATTTTGAGGGAATGAATTCGAATGCCTGAAAATGGAAAGCCCTAAGTTTGAGTATGTAGATGGGGGAATTAATGGACTACATGGAGGTTGATGAATGGTTGAAAATAAAGAGAATGGGAAATTTTCCTGCCTTGGTGTCCCTCCAAAAGGGGACTGGTGCTAATTTTTGTTGATGCAGAAATGAAGCTTCTTTGGCCTTTATGTTGCCTTTTGCTTCTGTTTACTTTTTAGATTTAAAGCAAGATAATTTTTGGAATAGTTTAGGTTTACAAGATAATAATCTCCATTTTTCGTTTTGCGGTGACAATGGTGGGTGGTGCAGCATCGTGAGGATGGGTGGCGTCGTTGACTGATTTTCTGGTTTTGGGTTATGGGGTAGGGGTGCGAAGTGGGAGAAGATGAACAGTTCGTTTATATTTTTGTTTTTCATTCAATTATTATTTTAAAGTTTTTAGGCAAGAAAATATAATTCGAACATTTTACCCCTCATTTAATTTATCAATTTGAGTCAAACATTTAATTTATGGGTCGATTTAATGGATAAATGGATGAAATCAGTCAAATGGACTCCAGCTGCAGTGGAAAGTAAAGGTTTGGGACTGCGGTCGCAAAAATGAAAGGTTAAGGTGAATTCTGCAACAAAATGAAAGGTTTGTGACCTTTGATGCAGTTTTCCCTTGGTTTAATGGTGTGAAACGTTTCTGCGCTGTTCACCTGAGCAATTCTTCTAGTAGCATTATTTAGATATTTTATAAGACTTACGGAAGTTGGTTGTGTTGATGATGTTGTAGAGAAAGGCTCATAAACAGTTCAACATCCGAACTGGGGTTGACTATGTGAATCTTTTTTAATCTTCTTTCTCCACTTCATTGATTCATTGCTATATCTACTAAAGGTTCTAAATCAACTAGATCTTTAAAAACTATAACAAATCGTGTTAGTGGATTATCCCTTCCTCATCTACTTGTTCTACCATGATCACGTCTCTATTATCAGTATCAGTGGGTAAAGAATAGGTCTTTGCTTAATTTATGCATATTCAATGTCACTTCCTCTTGTTGGCCAATATTATCATTTATCATCATATCAAAAAGTTTGTCACAACAATACATACAAAATAAATATGTAAAGAATAGATCTTGATACAGCAAACAAAGAATCATTTGGACTTAGATGCCATCAATAAATAATTTCTTGAAGTTCTTGCTAAATTAATTGGATTGACGAGGTTTAGTAAACTACCACTCTAATGGACCATTATTGTCATATTTTTACTAGATTCCAATTTTATTTTTGATAGCAATTTTGAAGGTATAGTTTTGACTTTGAGAACAAGATTCACTCTATAATCTGGCAAGGAAATTTTTTCATTCAGAAATCTAATGCTTGGTGCATATTTTTATTCTTCTTTTGGATTTTGGGAGTTCTGCATGATCTGATTTTCCTGCCCGCTTAGATCTATTACAATCATGCTCTGATACAATTTTACACACTGTTTTCTTATTGATATTTACTTTTAGAATACAAGAGAGACCGCCCATGCTCTCAGGAAAATGCCTCTGTCCAAGGCCAAAAGATACTTGGAGGATGTTCTTGCCCACAAGCAAGCTATTCCATTCACAAGATTCTGTGGTGGGGTTGGCCGTACTGCTCAGGCAAAGAATCGCCATTCAAATGGACAAGGACGTTGGCCTGTTAAGTCAGCAAATTTTATTCTTGACCTACTCAAGAATGCTGAGAGCAATGCTGAAGTATGCATTTCTTTTTGTGGATATTTTGATCCATCTCTTATTTTTATAATAACTAGGGAAAATATGCCATTTAGTTGCACAATTAGTTCCCAACCACCAAAACTGTCCAAATCTTCATTAAATCATGATGTGGCTCTCACATGTCTAACTTTATGGAGCTATATTTTGTTTTCCTACTTGGGTTCAAGCCCATAAATTTGAAGTAAAGTACGTTTCAACGTGGGCTTAGAATTTAACGAAGATTTGGCAGCTTTGATAATTGGGACTGTTTGTGGAACAATGAAAGGTTGAGAATCGACATGCTCTATTTTAAAGGTAGCGGACCAACTTGCAACCCGGGCAATAGATTGGGATCCGTAATTTTCCCTAATAACTCCTAACAAGATGAGCATTAACGTGTCTTTTCAGGTCAAAGGCTTGGATGTAGATTCACTTTACATAAAAAAAAAAAAAAGGAAGCAAATTTTAATGATTGATGTTCTGCACGCAGCTTACATGTCATCTCCCTGCCATATCGAGTTGATCTTGTCAGAAAAAGAAGAACCGGTTAAAAAGGAGGTGATTTACAACATTTCCCTTCTTTTAATATTATATATTAGCAAGAGGAAAAATGAAAAAGAGTGCTGAATCAGTCCACCTGTTTTTTGCATTGTTTGTTGTGTCATTGATCTCTTGTCCATATGTCTCACAATGAGTGCAAATAACTTAATGTTCTCGAGCTTGTATTGTCATGTGTACGGCTAAGCTTAAAAGTCAACTATCTTATTTCCAAATTTGACCAACAAAAAAGGTTTAGTTAGCCTATGTACTTGCAAATAAACTTACAGTTAGATTTTTAAGCAAGCAGTGACATAATTAACAAAGTTGTATAACATTTGGATTTGCAGCCTGAAACCCAGCTGGCTCCCAAGAAGACAAAATAGACTTTGAGTTCTACAGAGTGATGCTTAATGAATGGTAGACTTGAGGTAGTCTTCGATTTCGGGAAGGCGGGAAAATTTCTGTTCTGTTTCATTCTCTACTGTCCATGAGAATATTTTATATATTATATTATCGGAATTTTGTGTCACCAGAATTTTATGTTAAAATCAGTTTTGTCTGATTTTAGTTTTGATTTAGGAGGATATGAGCATTCAAGTTATGTATAAATTCATTTTGACATTGATGGAGGGTAGTGTTTGCTTTCCCCTTTTTTCTTCTTAGTCTTTGAACTTAAAATAATCGAATTGGTCCTTCGATTAGATTGCCTTATCTAATATCAGCGCTTGTTAGTGAGGAAAAGTAGTTTTGTTTGGTTAAAAGCTTCCTTAGCATAAAGAGCTTACCTACGTGAACGAGTAAATTCTAGACTATGCATTTGTTATAGAAAATTTGAAAACAAACAAGTCGCTCATTTTGATAGTAAAAGAAGTATTATTTTCAAAGCAATTAACTTTTATTAGTTAATTTTATTTAACCATACGTGCAGTTCATCTTTATCAGCCTATCAGGTATTACTCGTCAAATTGGAATAACTTTCAGCACGTATCCATTGGAAATTTACGGTTGGTCAATGTTGCAAAATTTTCCACAACATGCTAAAAACAATCAACAGATTCACGAAGTGTGTGATCGGAAAAATATTTGGATATGCTTCTCCTACTCTGGCTCCAACTCAAAATGCACCTTCGGTGGTAACAAAGAAAACAATTTATAATGCAATATCTTACAATGTGGCATTTTAAAGATAAAATTCTTGTCTTCAGCAATCCTCTGTTGGGAATAAATTTGTTCGAGCACAACAGTAGACTGCAGAACAATGTGCTGACAAAATTACAATGCTCTAAGCATTATTCCCAATTCCAATTGGATTAAATGAAGGAATACAAAATAGAAATGAACATCCGTGCTGTCTCAAGGTTGTGCAGCTTCCAGAAGTTTCTCATATATCTGTCTGGCAGTCAAATCTTCGACCTGGTTCAGAAATTATGGGGTAGAGAAGTAACAGTTAAGCTTTGGTTAGGAAAAAGGGAATGTATTTATTAGCATCGTATTGGCGTTTACTATAAAGGTTGCGGACAGATGAATATTGAAACAAATGCACGTGTATATAAACAGATACATATATATGGTTCTATACATGATCTCATACGCGTGATTGTGATCATATGCGCATAACTTAAATATTATGGATTTCAAGTCATATTTATTTCAGGTGCACTTATTAGCAAGATATGCAGCCATCATAGTTTTTTTTCACTATGCTAGCATTGGGAGAGAAGAATAAAATGTTGGATAAGTTTCCTCCCTGATATCTGGTTTCAGATATAAGAAGAAAAAGAAAATAAAGCAAGGAGCCTGCGAAAAATAAAACTAAGGTAAGCCAACGAAGTGCTTTCTAGCTTGAGGGTCAGGGTCCCCAAAATCTTGATTATATTAGAATCTCAACACCTTGTTCAAAAAACCATCTGTCCTTAATGAAGTCAGATTTGCAGATTCGTTTAGCGTAAGCTGAACAACCCTCACTATTGACATTATTAAAATTGAAGCAAGTTTAGTTTTCTATGAAGTCCTGTTTCAGCTTTTTCCTTTCCCTTTTCTTCTGGTCACATGTTCCTAGTTGATAGCCACTCAATGAAGGAGCCGTTTGCCTATTTAAAAATAAAGAAGCATTTTATGCCTTGATTAACTCTGGTTCTTCTATTTTATTCCCTAAGGTTCAATTTCTTGAAATTACATGGTCAGATCACTAACTAGGAATGAACTTTCAAAACAATCAAACTTAATTACTAACTTTGGCAGAATTCGAACCGCTGATTACATTCCAACTGAAGAGGAGAAAAGCGGACTGTATAACACATCAAAACACACAGATTAAAATGATGAAACTTGGGAAGTGAACTCACCACGAGGAGCTTTGATTTATTATTCCATCCCCTTTGAAGAGTCATCTGGCTTAATTTAAGGCCCAACACCTGTCTCAAAGAAATTTTACCAAGTCAGCTTCATTTGCTTTGATAAATCAAGGGAGGTTCAATTTGTCAGTTTAAATGAATAAATTCCGTTCCAATACTTTTCCCATGAATTCTAAAAGCTCATTGTTAGCTTCTCCTCTGGCTGCAGGTGCCGCTACAGTGACCCGAACATCATCAGCATTTACTCCTGTTATAAATGTATTGAAAAGACACCATGCTTAGCAAAGAACAATCATCAGTTTTCATATCTTTATTACATTATCATCCTTCACACATGTCAGATTCCTAACATGAATATATGTAAAAGATGAAAGTTTTCCCCTACTCTCTCTCTCTCTCTCTCTCTCTCTCTCTCTCTCTCTATATATATATGTGTGTATTCTGAATCCGCCTTATGAAGATACAAATGTTCACAAATATGATTACTTTCTTGTAAAAACATAATGATTTTTCACTTGTAATGTTTCGCCATCAAATCTTCAAGAAAATAAGGGAAAGAAAGAAAAGTGTCTTCTGGATTAAAAGCAACATCCTATAAGCAGCAGAGACCCAATAATAGACGCTGAATATACTGTGATCACAATGATTTTGGATGTAGTCATGTCGACGAAAAAATTATCATCTCGCACTAGTGATTTTCAAATCAAGCCTAGGGCTCACTTGACATTATACAAGGTTACACTTCTAGGGTTACAGTGATTATTTGAGGTTGACTGCCTCTAAAGAAATGACATGAAATTGTTTGCTCTCCCTATGGCTAACAACTGATTTTGAAAGTCGAGACAAAGTCTACATGTACCTTAGAGCATCTCCAAGAGACTATCTTCAAAGAGTATATTCCATCATTTGAAAAGCATCTATAAATTTAGAGAGTTAAAAAGTTTAAAGTGATCCAATAAACTCTTTATATTTAACACTTAATATTACTACTCTAAAAAATTATTTATTATTTTTTTCTATATTTTATTTTAACTATCCTTTCTCTAAATTATTTTATTATTTTCCTACATTAAAAATAAACACTTTGAATGCATTTAATTATAAAGAGTGATTTTGGAGAGCCAAATTCACTCTCTAAATTAAAAAGTTAATTTAAAGAGGCTCTTGGAGTATGATTTTAAGGTTTGATTCTTTAAAATAGAGAGCATCTCATATTTAAAGAGTCTTTTGGATGTGCTCTTACACATATTAAGAACATTTTGAATCAGCAGATTGCAGTTAATTCAAGAGTTACAAATCACATGCAATTGTCTACTTTTTCCTCGAACCATTTCAATTTCATGCACTTTCTTCAGCTTTAGAACAATAAAATAAAAATTTACTACTCATGCTTACTTCCATCTTTTTGGCAAAGATTAAATAAATTTTCACAAGGAGGATACAAAAACATCTTGAGGATGAATAAAAACCAGAACCAACACACTGAAAGAACACAAAGAAATTGATTAACACCAGGACTGAAACACTGAAAGCGTACAAAGAAATTGATTAACATCAAGGCCATGGCATAGCTTCAAATTTCCACGCAAAGGAACTATGACAAGCAAAACAGATGCTAATATGATTGCGTCTGTACAATCACCACATGAATTCTCTTAGCTAGAACTTTAAACCATAGAGATCTATGATGCAGAACAGATGCATGTTGATGGAGTAACTTAGGCGGAACACTGTACGATTGATTTACTTGTAATTGCAGATCGCTGTGAACGGTCTTCCACTTCTATTGCCACTTGAACAAGGCCGCCTGCTAATTGTGATATGCAGGGTGGTACTGGAGCATCCTACAGTGGATAGCAAAAGATCAAATTATAGCGTCCTCGAAATCAATTACATCACAAGAGAGCTTTAAGTATAAATGATTCCTGAAAGCATGATAGAGACAAATATGATAGCAGGATAAATGATAAGGATCTCTGACATGCCTTCGGTCCTTTAAATTTTCACATTGCTTGATTCCCAAATTGAGTAGTTGAAAGATTAATAACAAGGAATCTAAATAATGAATAATATCCTGAGATTTGTTACCTGTGGATTGGTTTCAGCAGCAATTGTACTAAGCGCACCATCAACAACATATATGAAAGAGGCAGATTCTAGATCTTCTTCTGCACGATAGCAAACAAACAACTCACAACCCAAACAATTCATTCGATACTGCTTCTCGATTTTTCCTTCACCACTGCACGAGAAAGATCCACCACAACAAAGATTAACTTCACAAATTTGAATTTCATAAATTTAGCACAGAACAGCAGGTACTCAGTCATACTTCATGAATCCACAAACTGCTAGCTCTATAATTAATTTTTTTTTTTTTAATTATATATTTTATAAGTGGTGAAATGCTGTATTCTCTATCATAAAGAAAATTTGACTTGTTAGTTCTACGCAGGAGGCAATGTTCCTGGATTTTTCAGGCAACACACATGATCAGCAGTTCCAGCACAGACATAAGATTTAAGACTCGGCTGATGGTGCAACTCATTGAAATTAAGAGAAAGACTTTAGATGTGATCCTAAGATAACCTAATAAGAAAATAATTTTTTTCACAAATTAGCTGTCTTAGTTTTGTTCTATGCAATCATCATCGAAACTGTTATGCTCCTGGTTATTTAAGTAGAATTCCAAGAGATCTTCATGATGATGGAAAAAGTTTTTACCATCTTTTAAAGCATGTTTGGGAAGTGTTTATAAATAACTTAAATTATGATAGATAAAAACGAATGAGGTCCCTCAAAATATGTGGATAAAAAGTGTTTATAAACAATTTATAAAAACGAGCCGTACATGGGCTTAGTCATTAAAATTTGCATGCAGTGAAGGCTTGAAGATTCAATTAATCTAGAAAAGATAAACAGACAGCTGGAACAGGAAATTACTCACAAACAGAAGAAACAGGTTATTATGGGGGTACATTAACTCTTTCAAACAATATTGAATTAGCAAAGACTAAACATAATGGGGTTGTTCCTAGAAACATTTGGGTATGCAAAAAGACAGAGAATTCAGTTTTACAACAGTTGAATTCCACAAATAAGAAAACTTGTAAATTAGGCACCAAGAACCCATCATACAAAAGAAATATTAGCTACTTGATATCTTCCCTCTCTCTTTCTGTCTTTATACGTTATCAAGTGTTTTAGTATAATAAAACAAAGCACTATACAATGCTGAGAAAAAAGGAGAATTTGCATGATGAATAAGACTATACAACATGACACCTGATACAATTTGATAAATAGAAGATTACCGCTTCAAGAGAACTTTTCCACCTTCACTAGTATTCAGCCTTGCAAGATGCTTCTTCTTGTCCAATACATATGCTTTGTCAGTTTTTCTCTTAGGCATTTTCTGTAATTGCGTATCTACAAAAATGCTTCAGTATGGGGAAGCCTAAATATTCTTTAACCAGGAAAAACAGAAAAGCAAACATAACTGATAACTGAAATAGAATCAGTTTTGCTCTTCTCAAGAAGTCCTCAAACATTTAAGATAAGATCCCAAATTAGTCCAAGTCACTTTGGAAGTCAAACTAGAAGTATAACAGCTCAAGTGATGTACACAAAAACTCATGGTTAGTTCAACTGCACAAATTTTAGAAATATGAAGTGCTGGAGATGGGAGATCCAGCCAGTGCAGTGGCTTCCTAATCCAGGAGAAGAAATTGTCTGTTGGTGAACTGGTGTGCCTGTATGTCCTCCTTTATTTCTTTTTTGTGTGTTTTCTAGCACAAACATGTGGAAAACCAGAAGAAGAAAAAAGGGGCAAAAATGAAGCAATCATGTAAACAGAATAACAGAATATAGCAGCAAGCTGGAAGTTAACAAAATCAGTTACACAGATGGATGTTAGTTTGCTGTTAGGGTAGTTAGTCATCCACGTGTCAATTTTGTGTTGAATGTTGTAATTAGTTTGTTAGTAAGCTGCCTATTTATACCACCATGTAAATCTCATTTTCTATTGAATAAGATCAATCAGATTCTTTTCCCTTTCTCTCAATATGGTATCAGAGCATTGAGATACTCAATCATCTCTGTTATTTTTCATTTCCACTAAAATTCTGATATTCCAAGTAACATTACCATGGCAACTGAAGTTGCTAATCAAAATCAATCGAGCAATTCCTCATCAATGAGTCATTCCGCCATTGATGATGGCTCCAGCCCTTATTATCTGCACCACTTCGATAGTCCAGGATTGATTCTTGTCTCACAACCATTAACTGGAGACAATAATGCCTCATGGAATCAATCTATGATGATATCATTGTTAGTGAAGAATAAACTAAGTTTCATTGATGGTTCTATGCCTTGACCAGAGGGCAATGATGAGTTGTTTAAATCCTGGATTCGCAATAATAATATTGTGATCTCATGGATCCTTAACTCAGTCTCCAAGGAGATTTCAGCCAGCATCATATATGCTGATTCTGCATACGAAATCTTGATGGATCTTAAAGAGAGGTACCAGCAGAGAAATGTTCCTCGCATATTTCAGTTAAGACGGGAATTGATGGACCTCACCCTGGGACGATCTTTTGTAGGAGTGTATTTCACCAAATTGAAGACTATTTGGGAGGAATTGAACAATTATAGACCTGCTTGCACTTGTGGAAGATGTGAATGTGGAGGTGCCAAAAAGTTAGTGGATCACTATTGCATGGAATATGTTGTGTCATTTTTTATGGGATTGAACGATTCATTTGCTCAAGTTTGAGGCCAACTATTGCTGATGGATCCCATCCCTCATATAAACAAGGTATTTGCTCTAGTATCCGAAGATGAGCATCAAAAGAGTGACAATACCATTGCTACAACATCTGATCCTATAGCATTCTATGTCAGAAATGACGCCAAGAAACCTGCAGCTAGGTAATCTTATAACAAACACCAAAGGAAGGAAAGACCAATCTATGCTTTCTATGGCTATAGTGGACACGTTGTCAATAAATGCTATAAGCTACATGGGCATCCTCCTGGATATAAGGCTAAACTAAGGCCTGAGTCCAACCAAGCAACTGACAATAGCCACAAGAATCAAGCCACTGTGAATCAAGTATCTGAATTTGCCCATAGCAGACACATGGAAAGGTAGGGGACTTTATGAAGACCTTGAATCCCGCACAATACCAATATTTGATGAATATGTTGAGTACTCACCTCACATTAGCAAAGACTGATGCTGAAGAGGATGCTAACTGTGGCCATGTATTAGGTACATGTTTCTCCATTTCTCTTAACCTAATGCTCAATTCCCCTAGGTGTTGGATGGTGGATTTAGGGGCAACAACTCACATATGTTCCACCAAAGCATTCCATAAAATGCAATCAATTCAAAATACATACATCACATTGCCCAACCATGAACATTCTGTGTTCTTCACTGAATCTGTGAAAATCAGCCATGATTTAATGCTTAAAGATGTGTTGCTTGTACCCCGATTCAAGTTCAATCTATTGTCTGTCAGCTCATTAACCAGGAATTCATCTAAAATTGTCAGATTCCTTACTGATTCTTGCATTATTCAGGACATGCCCAGTTTGAAGATGATTGGCGAGGGTGAGAGAGTTGCTGATCTTTACATTCTGGAAGCTGATTCATCTAATTCAATTGTTATTGATTGTAATCCTGTTCATGAAACTTTTAATTCTATTTGTTCAGGAATTAGCAATGTAACTTCTCACACTTGGCACAATAGACTTGGCCATCTATCTTTTTAGAAATTGGAACCGTTAAGAGATCAATTGCATTTGTCTAGAAATAGTTACAAATGTAATAAATATGTCTCTTGTGATGTATGCCCTTTGGCAAAACAAATGAGACTTTCTTTCGTGTCAAACAACCATTTATTAGATAGTGCTTTCGATCTAATCCATTGCGATACTTAGGGGCCATATCACATTCCAACATATACAGGTCATAAATACTTCCTCACTTTAGTAGAAGATTGTTCACGGTTTATATGGGTATATCTTATGAAATAGAAATCGGATGTTGAACTCCTTACGCCTAAGTTTTTCAACTTGGTTGAAACTCAGTTCCACAAGAAAATTAAGAAATTCAGGTCTGATAATGCTCCAGAACCGAAACTTGTAGATTTCTTAGCATCAAAGGGAGTCATTCACCAATTCTCTTATGTTGAAAGACCCGAACAAAACTCTGCTGTTGAAAGAAAACATCAACACCTTCTCAATGTAAAATTAAATATAAGTCTGACATAAGTATTGATCAGTAAAAAGCTTGTTTAGTCACAAGGGGATACTCAACAAGAAGGGTTGGACTTCATTGAAACATTTTCTCCAGTGGCCAAGCTAGTTACAGTCAAAATCCTTCTAGCCATTGCAGCCATTAACCAATGGCACATCACTCAACTAGATGTGAACAATGCCTTCCTAAATTGAGATCTTTTTGAGGAAATATACATGGATTTGCCTCTGGGATATAACAAATCATCTACTGCCGATGTACAAGGGACAAGCAAGTTGGTTTGCAAGTCACATAAGTCCATATATGATCCCAAACAAGCATCGCGACAGTGGTTTTCAAAATTCTCTAATGTGCTCATTTCACATGGTTATCATCAATTGAAATCTGACTACTCCCTATTTACTAAAGGTTCCTGCACATCCTTGGTAGCATTGTTGGTTATGTTGATGATATTATCATCACTGGCACTGATTATAATTTAAACTTAAGGACCTAGGCCAGTTAAAGCACTTCCTTGGACTGGAGATTTCTCGCTCATAAAAGGTGATATTCCTTTCACAGCGTCACTATACACTTCAACTTCTTAAGGACACTGGTGCTTTGGCCTGAAAGCCAGTTATCCTGCCTATGTACCCCAAGGTTCGTTTATGTTCATTTGAAGGAGAACTTGTTGCTGATGCATCCCAGAGTAGGAGAGTAGGTCATTTGCTCTACTTGACAATCTCAAGGCCTGACATTACCTTTGCGGTTCACAGGTTAAGTCTGTCAGTTTTTGCACCCAGAAAATCTCATCTTGACATTGCTCATCATCTTTTACAATACCTCAAAGCAACTCAAGGGCAAGGCCTCCTATTTTAAGCCCGGTCCTCCTTCCAGATTTGAGCCTTTGCCCATGCTGATTCGAGTTCCTACCTTGATACAAGAAAATCAGTTACAGGGTTCTGTGTCTTCCTTGGTGATTCTATCGTATCCTGGAAATCAAAGAAACAAAGCACTCTATTTCGATCTTCAACTAAAGCGGAATATCGAGCCTTGGGTGCAACTACCAGTGAGCTTATTTGGATTCAGCAATTGCTTCATGAACTTCAAATCTCTTCTCCTGCACCTACTTTAATATTTTCTGACAATCAAGCAGCCATACACATTCGCTACCCATCCTATATTCCAAGAGAGAACCAAGCATATAGAACTGGAATGCCACTTTATTCGAGACAAGCTCACTAATGGTTTTGTCGAGTTACTTCCTGTTCGCACTCAGCACCGGCTAGCTAACATATTCACTAAGCCTTTGCCTGCCACTTCTCTATTCCCATTGATGTCCAAGATGGCCATTATTAATCCCCATCGTCCATCTTAAAGGGGCGTAACAGAACATAGCAGCAAGCTGGCAGTTAACAAAATCAGTTACACAACTGGACGTTAGTTCGCTGTTAGGGTAGTTAGTCATCCACGTGTCAATTTTGTGTTGAATCTTGTAATTAGTTTGTTAGTAAACTGCCCATTTATACTGCCATGCAAAGCTCATTTTCACTCGAATAAGATCAATCACACTCTTTCCCCCTTCTCTCAATACAGAATTTCCAACTGAGAACTCTAACTTCATAAAATAACACAAACAGGATAGCTGAAGATATTAATTAAATGTGACTAGACTAATAACATAAACATAAAGAAAGGATAAGTTACAAATAATTTTTCCTAAAATTCGAAGTACAAAAACAGAAACAAACAATTCTCACAATAGCTCTTTACCCATCCAGATCAAATTATGAGCACAGCTCATTTTTAGAGCATTATGCTTGGAATAAATTAATTTATTATTCCACATGGAAAATTTTGAAGTTTGAATTGGAGAAAAGTTCTAAATAAATAAAAAACAAGATTAAATTACCGGTGATGAGAATGTGAGAGCTGCAGTGCTTGCAGTAGTAGACGAATAGATCGGAGTCAGGGCCGTCCGGTGCGGCGTCCTCGCTCGAGTACGTGTGCGTCGTCCGCTTCGGCATTTGTATTGATCGATTCTACCCGAGGTTCTCTTGCTTTTCCTCCCAAGCCTCAACCCACGAAAATGTTGCTTCGAATCCAGTGACCAAAAGGGGAACGGAAGATAATAAGTCTATTTTTCAAGTCAACACCTAACCTACGTATTTTTCCTTTTTGTTCGGTGGCCGAACTTGTATGTGTGTACATTCTGTTTGATTATTTAATCCTTTTTACTTTTTCAATTTTAACATTTACCCATTATCACACTATCGAGTGTGATATATTTTTTAAGTTTTGCATAAAGAGCTAGGTGTAGTGACAAAATGATAGTTGTTTTTTTTTTTTATCAGGTAAATAAATATATTGATCAAAATTTTGAGTACAATTACTCCGGACATCGAAATCAAACATTAAAAAATTTTAAAAAATCAAAGTATTAGACTCAAAATGAATTAAAACATAAAGTTTCAAAAATTTACGTAACTTCGTCTAATCAAAATTAAAACATGAAGTGTTGACAATCCATTCCCGTTCTTGCTGAATCATTTTAATATCAAGAGGGGAGTTATCCTCCTTTTATCTTTCTTGACTGTAGCAAGACGAAAATCATCCATCTTTCCTTTGACTTTGAGATTGTCATTGCAAGGTACCTTCGTTTGTCATTCCTCTTGATCATGGCCATTGGATTTATTTATTCCCTTCTTTTGCTAGCAACCTCAAGAAATGGATTTTCCAATTCGTCCCTAGTTTGTTGTACTGAGTTTCCACCAGCATCATGGCAATTTCGACCAGTGGCGTTCTAGTCATTTCGCCCAATAATTTGCTTGCCATTTCCATCAGCTCCATCTCCAACCCGTTTTGTAACCATAGACTAATTTTGGATATCCTTGTTATGCACAACTTGATTGATGCCTTCGTTTGGAACTTTCTTGCTATCTATCCATCACAATCGGCCTAGGTACATTGCACCCTGATGTTTCATGACGGAAGCGTTTGTAAGTAGAGCAAAACTTCAGCTCATGTTCACAGTAAACCTCTTGGTTTCTAACCTTACTTTTTGGCAACTCCGCCCTTGTTTGAGCCATGTTCTTTTGAAGAAAATATATTATTAAATAGTATTTTGACATCATTTCAATTACATTATTCGATAAAATAATATTATACACAAGTCCAAAACTTTTCCTCATTTTTTAATCACATTTCCCTTCAATACATTATTCAAAAATGCATTTTCCCGCCAAAATAGGGCTCAAACAAGAGCTTAATTTCCAGCATACACACCAATTCCTCGGCAACATCAATTTCAACCAAGACCCTCGCATAAGATACCCTATCTTTCGAGGATGTGAGTTTATCAATTACAATTGGTTTGCCCACCATGGAGACAATTTTTCCTAAGGCTCTTGCATTCCAGAAATCCAAAGGTAATCTTGACAGGTTGACCATACCGACATCATACAAATCTCTTTTTCGTCAAACTCAAAACATTTTGACATAATTTTTAGCATCAAAGGTTTTCCGAACACAAGATATAGTCCTTTATCTCGTACACATTGCTTATCCACGTCATTCTCAAATTTGAAAATGAGTCAACCACTATTATGCACATAGTATTGATACTTTACCTTATACGAGTTGCAAAGTTGGATCAAAGCCATCTTACTTGGAAACCGTCTTGCAAAATAGCTGACCAAGCAAGACCCCCAAGCATCTTCAACTTCGTCCAAGTCTTGATCATCTAAAATAACCTGACCATACTGTTTGACAAACTTTTCCAGCTTAATTCTGTCATCGTGTTTATGATTTTCCGTGAATAGATTTACCCATGGTGCTTTGATCGATTCTTGGACGGGAAGATTACTCATTTCAGCATCATTACAGATTTTCTGAGGTTCAGCTGCAGATTGAGACATGCCACGACTGCGCCTTAAAATTTGCAAAAATTGGCCAAAATCAATGTTTTGGTTCGCATACGCCTCTTGCTTTGGGTGACCTCATAAGACGCGCAAAACATAGTCTAAATGACTCGAGAATGTTGAAGAGACGATAATTGCAGGAGGGATTGTGAAGTTCTCATTTCTTCCACGGCCATCCGTGCAGGGCAACGCCAAGATACATGGGCAAGTTCTCATTTCTACCGCCATCCGTGCAGGACAACGCCAAGATACATGGGCATCGCACAGCACACAAATTGGTGTTCAATTTTATTATAAGTTGAGATAAGGAACCATTTGCCAAGTTTAAGGGGATAAATCATCTTAGAATCTAAACCCCAGGAGCCACAAGAAAGCAGAAGCAATAGCTTTAACAATTTTATTCAACCTTCTCTAAAGAAACCAAATTAAGATCCATATAGTAGATCGATCCTCTTTTTTCCGTTGACATCATATTTTGCCTATTTAGAAAAGGAGCTGATGAACCTATTTCTAAGAATTAAACTTTTGTAAACAATGCATCTTAGAACTTATTTCTAATAAATAACGGATAGTCAAGTACTAAATGAAAGTTCCAACAAAATATAAAGAAACAATAATTTAAGTCACTTCACATGGCAATTATATTGGTTACATTGCCAAGTCCACATTCAAATTATACGAGTCTGGAAATTTCATATAGCCATAAACGGAACACAACTTCAAATAGCATTATGGAAAAACTGGACGATAAACGCAACACAGAACCTACACTCCAATCGTTCAATTGCACATTCCAAACCGGTGAATGAATCAGTGAATTCTGCAAAACAATCGTCACCAATCAGATACATAGCGACTAATAATTATTATTAGTCAGCCAGTCTAATTAGCTAGGACATAATACTTGGTTTAAGATCAAAATGACAACAAATTCTTGAGTAACTTACATATTTTATTGAAGGCCACAATATCACAACTCTGGACATACTCATTTATTGGTTCTTCCATGAGACGCTCTTCGATAAGTGTATCGACAGATACCAAGTCATCCACGATGGTAAGCATAATCTGAAGCTTCTTGATACCATATCCAACAGCAACGAGTTTAGCTGGCAACAAATGTGAGATGTTTTGTAAGCTTCCTTAAAATGCAATAAACTACATCAGAAAAGAAACACCACATTTTACAATTTCACCATGATAGTTCTTTTTCTAAAAACTTGGCTTGAAAACACATGCTGGTAACAGTCTGGGTACTATATCATGTATCCATGTTCGCTTAAAACAATCAAAGTCAAACTCAGAGAGTCTTCCCTGAAGCTAGGTTGCAATAGCCATTAGCATCATCATTAATCCCTAAAGGAAGAGAAAAACTTACACGCTCCCCATAGCAGACCCTCCATCTGCACACTTCTAACAGCTTCCTCAAGCTTTTTCATATCAGTTTCGTCATCCCATGGTTTTACATCCATCAGTACTGATGACTTCCCACCTAAAAAATGAGCATAAGGATTTATATATGGATTTAGTTTGATAATATATGAGAACGATAAAAATGAAATCTATAACATTGAAATAATTTGATAAGTATGTCAGATTAAAATAGCTTATAGATGATGTGGAAACTAAAGTAGATATGAATATGAAACTCCAATTAGGTTCTCTAGCTTTGGTCCACTTGTAATTAGGGAAAAGAGTCTTTGTGTATTATTATTATTTATTTATTGTTTTTGAGAATCTGCGAACTCACTCTCTTTCTTCTTTCCAGATGCCTTCACGGCTGCAGCACGTTCTTCAGCAGCCTTCTTCTCTTCCTCAGTCTCCTCACCAAACAAATCCACATCATCGTCATCGTCCTCCTCTGCAGCAGAGGCCTGAAATTCAGATATTGTGCTATTTGTAAGAATAAGCATTAAAAATGATGAACAAGTACTCAAAATCAATAAAGAATGGTTATTCAAAATTTACATTGCTCTATAAAACAGAGATAAAGAGATTAAACAAATAATCTATGTGCATGTGCATCCATGCAATAGCAAATAACTTATTCACTACAAAGAAATTCCTACACAACTAAGAATTATAAAGCAAGGATATTAATATCTTGCCTTAGTGTCTACAGCAGGAGGAGTTGCAATAGCCTCCTCAGGGGCAGGAGCTGATCCCTCAACTATAACACCAGATCCTTCAGCAGAAACTCCACTACAAAACCATATCATAATAAGTTAGCAAGCCAAAAACCTTAAAATACTGAAAATATTGTGCAACTAAGAAAGGACTTACGAAATCCTCAATAGTGCTTCAATGTGGTTGTACCACCGTGAAACATTGACATAGTCAGATGATGGAGGCTTTGAAAGAGAAGCATGAACAGTCAGATCATCTTTTGAAGCTTGGTATCTGAAACAAGGAGTAAAGAGAGAATCGAAATTGAGATTCAATTCATTGTTAGCTAGAAAAGAAAAAACTCTCATTACAACAGTGGCACTGTTCTGCACTCTACAAAGCCATGCTTCCATTGCCTACGTTTATGATATGAGAAGTTCAACTCTATGCAACATATTCCACAACTATGGTACAACCACACAGTAGCTTACAGAATTGATACTACTAATTCAGAAAATCTTCTCTCGCTCTTTTCCAGGATAGTGAGTCATTTTATATCTATCAAAACATAAATAGGTTATCTACATTACATACAAATGAGATTTCAAATAAATTATGCAACACAAATAAGTTTCTCAGGTTCAGGCAGGTGTCAAGAGTGCCCAAGCAGTTATCATTAAGTACAAGCATGTTGTAGAATGTTAATTGAATTAAATGATTGATGTGCAAAGGAACAGCAACAAAGTTTAACTAAGATTTATCCAATGAATCACATGTTTCATGCCCAGGCAGTTATCGTTAAGCATAAGCATGTTGTAGAATAATAGTTGAATTAAAACGATTGATCCGCAAAGGAACAGCAACAATCTAAAATTATTCAATGCATCACATGGTTCAGTTTTTATTTTGATTATTCTCTAGATATAAATAGAAGAGTAAAAACAAAAGTTGAAAATCCATTTAATAAATCTCCTTCGGGACAAATTCTCCAACTCGTATTCTTTTCATAATTTATGAAATAGAAAACTAGTCCTAATAAGGCGCCTCACAAAAAAATAAAATAATAACAATAAATAAAAAAATCTAAATCCAATAAAAACATTAAAAATACTCTAAAATGAAGTACAATTACCCTGTGATGTAACTGCGAGTTAAAAGGTAATCATCAAGCTTCTTGAGCCCAGCATCTGAGCCGAGGTTGCAGAATGCGACGGCCATTGCTTAATAGTAATACTCAGATCTGATAATTTAATTTGATTCAACCAAAAGGCATTACAAGATTGAATTAAAAGTGAAAATCTATGAAATTTTCAAGCTGTGTGTAGAGAGAGACTCACATGACCAGTGCTGGAGGCGTAGAGCTTGGAGAGAAACTTGGGAGTACGGAGAAAAATTAGGGTTTCATTGACCATATAAATGGCACGAGGAATTTTGGTTATTTCTACTCGGCCCCTCGATTATCGTGATTAATGATAATCACCCCCTACAGATTGCAGAAATGAAAATTCATTTTCGTGGCCCAACAAATATATAACTCATAAGGCAAGCCCGTCCATCTTGGGCTGTGCTAGATTGACCCACGTGAACAAATTATCCCCAATTTGTTATTTTATTGAAATTAATAGCTTGTTTGGTACAGTTAAAAATTCAATTAAAATTAATTTTTTATTGTTATTTTATTATTACAGTCTTTATTTTTGAATTCTTCTCTTATCGATTGGACCCACTTTATCTCTAACTGTCAGAAAATCAATTATCAAAATCACTACCAAACAAACACTATAAATATGTAAGAGGGTTGTAAACTATAATTTCAAAATTAAGAGATTAGGTCAATATTACAAAAATTAGGTCTTAATTAAAATTTATTCATTAAATAATTAATTAAAAAATATTTTGTTGATTAAGCCCATGTTTGGCTCTCATTAGTCTCCATTAAATTATAATTCAATTTTCTCAACTTTTCTTATCAACCATACATTTTTCAATAAAATAACACGTAAATCCAAAAAAAATCTTTTTTTAACCACACATTCTCCACAAATTTATTATTTCTCTCATTATAATGTGGAATAATGGAGGCCAAACGGATACTGAATACACTAAGGTCACATCATTATATAATTTATGGTCACAACTACTTACTGGTTATAATTACAGAAGTCGCAGTCACAAATCACAAATTTTGTAGATCACAATTTATCAAATCAATAGGTCACGTATTAGTCATCGATCACTAATCATGAATTTTATAGGATTGAATTCATTTATTTATCACAAATTATCAAATTAGTTGGTCACGGTTATTACTCGATCATCAATTATTAAAAATGGGCCAGAAATTAACAAATTTTGAGTCACGATTATAAATTTTGTCAGAATCTGACATTTTTTAGATCATGTATTATTTATTAGTTATAATCAATCAAATAATTGATCACAAACACTATTTTTCCCACCCGCTACCCCCAACACCACCACCACAACTAGTCAACCACCATCTTATACCACACCATTGCCACCGCCATCGACATTGGCATCGAATCCACCAACATTACTACCACCTCCACACCAGCATTGCTACTACATGCACCACCACCCTAAAAGTCATTGCACAACTACCGAAAAAGCAACACCATACCACAAAAACCACAAACCGTAGTGAGCCTAGTGGACTCGTGCTGTCAACACAGACACTAGCAATGGCAGCGTCGTTACTGCAGCAACGATGAGCACAAACGACGTCATTGCTATTGCAAAACAGTGTCGAGTGATACCGCTATCAGAGCGACGTTGCTGTAATAGCGGTCACAAGAGTGATTATGAGTACCGTGCTAACGGTGCCTCCGGCATGTTGTGTGAGAGAGAGAGAGAGAGAGAGAGAGAGAAAGAAGGGAAAGCGAAAAATGATAAGGGTTAGGAAGTGAAATTTGGTGGGGCCAGGTGGATACATAGATTAATTTTATTTTATAATATTATTATTAATATTAAACTTGGAATTATCAACTGTTTTTATTTTATTATAAATAAACTCCAAACTTAATTTTTGAAATTGAAACCTAAAAAACTTGGTTACACGTAATTTCCACAAAAGGAAATCCATATCCTTCTCAGAGGCCCAACAGCCATCGAATAACCCAACAAAGGATAAATTGTTTTCAGAAATTTTCAAAAACAGCCATATTTTAGATTTAAGAGAGGGGAGAGGGGGGTACCGGAGGTGTACTAATTAGTGGAATCCCAAAACCTACTTTCTTTCCTGACAAAATCACTTACGACTAAGGCTAATTCGAAACTTTCCCACTCCGAAGGTGGGGTTACTTAAAGATAAAAATAAAGTAAGGGTATGTTTGATAGGATGAATTTTCCATGGAAAATGGAAAAGGAATTCCATTTTCCAATTTTAAGAGTGTTTGATGACTCTTTTTTTCCATGAAAATACATTTCTTGGTTGTCTTGCCACATAGGATTTTTCAAGGTTTTGATTTTCCAAGTTACTGTAGCTATTTTTTTTTTGTTATTATTATTATTATTATTATTATTATTATTATTATTATTATTATTTTGTGTTAGCAATGGAAACAAATTTTAAAAATTATTGTAAAAAAATATTTTCCTTTAATTGACAATATCCATGTAACAAAGCCAAATGAACACCCAAAGATAGATGATTTTCTTGAATTTTTTTGTTTGTTTGTTTTTTTTTTTGGCAATGGAAATAAATTTCATTCCCAATACCAGTAAATTATATTCCTCTAATTGACAATTTTCATGTAAAACAAAGTCAAACGGACATAAAAAAAAACACTTTAATTTAAATATTTTCCAAGTGGAAAATTATATCAATCAAACACAATAATTTACAATTTTCAGGAAAACAATTTCCCATCAATTCAATTCCTTGAAATTCGTTTTTTTTCCACTCAAATTCTACCTTTACAATCAAACAGACTCTAAATGGAAAAAAATGTCTACCCAAATATCCCAGACTTGGTCGATAATCTAATGTTCAAAATTTAAAAGGCTTTTCTTCACTAGACAGAGTTAATATTATTAAAAATAATCATAAAGCTTGAGGAGATCAACTCTGCGAGACAATGGACTAGGCAACAAGGACAATAAAAGACGATTCATGCTAATCTTGACAAATAGCAAGTTTAAATGACTCATAAAGATCAAAGTGAGAGTAATCTCATGCATTTTTTTAGCTCTGAGATAGTATATATCACCTTTCCCCATGTAGTCGTTTGTTAAAATTAGGGTATAGATCATTGTACTACTACGGAAGCCTATGACTATATATACACAATATTCACATTCGACGGGTGAATCTTTTAAAGTTAAAAAAAAAATAGATTGTCTTTGGGTCGAGGAACATTCTTTTTAGGCGACGAGTTAGTAATAGTAAATAAAAGAAATAAAGCTCTGCTTTGCTGTGAACACATAGTTTTTAAACATGTTATAACAACTGAAAGTGACCGTGCAACAGATAATCTCTTTTTCAACTTCCCCCATATTTACCACCAAATGCTTAAAAGAAACAGTAGGTGCATATAAAGAAATCAAAGAACACCACGCTAACCAAAAATGATTGAAATATAAATAAAGTGATGCTTCATTATAAAGCAAATCTATCCCTTCTTCCTCACTCAAGAAAATTATCAACCAATCAATGAATTCACTAATTGAAAGCCACCACTCTATAATGAGGATGTGTTGGTACTGTTGGAAAAATAATTAGTTGCAGCAGTGATCAGAACAATATAATGCAGAAATATAAAACTTATCGTCCGATCGAGTCTCGTGACAGCACGATGTCCTAAAGTGAAATTGCCCGTCAATAATTGCCGTGACCTCCGTGGACAATCACTCCCAGGATACAACGATCGTAAACCACTTATGCAGCAATCACGAATGATTTTTCTAGAACTCTCAATTGTACTCCAGAATAGGTATAAAAACCCGAATATAAGAAATTCACAATATGAAAAGAGTGATTGATTCTATTTTCTTTTTGTGTGTCTTTTCCCAAAACAAGATATGGGTTTATATAGGCAAGATGGTAGTAACAGTCTTCACCATGTTAATGCAGAATTTTAATGACTGAGTAGTGGGTGTTTTAATGGCAGTTAGTGGGTTGTTACAAAAACAAACAGTCATAAAATACTGGCTAGTTTTACCCATTAAATAATGAAGAAAAAAATATTTATTTTAGTCAAGGAAGCCCAAGGCCCCAAGGCCCAAATCAAGACATTTTAATATTTACGTGGGGAGTGATTCGAACCCCTGACGTCCCACACAAATGTTACATTTCCCACCACTTTAGCACTTTATCTAATTTGATTATTTCTTTCACATTTTATATTTATACCATAAATATATAACAGATGTTTCATGACGGAAGCGTTTGTAAGTAGAGCAAAACTTCAGCTCATGTTCACAGTAAACCTCTTGGTTTCTAACCTTACTTTTTGGCAACTTCGCCCTTGTTTGAGCAATGTTCTTTTGAAGAAAATATATTCTTAAATAGTATTTTGACATCATTTCAATCACATTATTCGATAAAATAATATTATACACAAGTCCAAAACTTTTCCTCATTTTTTAATCACATTTCCCTTCAATACATTATTCAAAAATGCATTTTCCCCCCAAAATAGGGCTCAAACAAGAGCTTAATTTCCAGCATACACACCAATTCCTCGGCAACATCAATTTCAACCAAGACCCTCGCATAAGATACCCTATCTTTCGAGGATGTGAGTTTATCAATTACAATTGGTTTGCCCACCATGGAGACAATTTTTCCTAAGGCTCTTGCATTCCAGAAATCCAAAGGTAATCTTGACAGGTTGACCATACCGACATCATACAAATCTCTTTTTCGTCAAACTCAAAACATTTTGACATAATTTTTAGCATCAAAGGTTTTCCGAACACAAGATATAGTCCTTTATCTCGTACACATTGCTTATCCACGTCATTCTCAAATTTGAAAATGAGTCAACCACTATTATGCACATAGTATTGATACTTTACCTTATACGAGTTGCAAAGTTGGATCAAAGCCATCTTACTTGGAAACCGTCTTGCAAAATAGCTGACCAAGCAAGACCCCCAAGCATCTTCAACTTCGTCCAAGTCTTGATCATCTAAAATAACCTGACCATACTGTTTGACAAACTTTTCCAGCTTAATTCTGTCATCGTGTTTATGATTTTCCGTGAATAGATTTACCCATGGTGCTTTGATCGATTCTTGGACGGGAAGATTACTCATTTCAGCATCATTACAGATTTTCTGAGGTTCAGCTGCAGATTGAGACATGCCACGACTGCGCCTTAAAATTTGCAAAAATTGGCCAAAATCAATGTTTTGGTTCGCATACGCCTCTTGCTTTGGGTGACCTCATAAGACGCGCAAAACATAGTCTAAATGACTCGAGAATGTTGAAGAGACGATAATT